TCGAGATCAATGTGTAAACGCTCCCTAAATGGGCACAGCTCCAATTGCTGCGCGCAATCGCGGACCGTCTGATTCGGCTCTTCTTCGATACTCTAGCCCACAGCAGCAATAGCGTTTTCGGTACGCACTGTACGGCTTCTTTCAGGTTACGCATTCTCCGTTAGAGTTCAAATGCGAGTTAAACCGTTATTTTGGTAATGAATTTGCACAATTTGCAAAGGTTGTTCCAAAAAAACCATGTTCATTATTAAATATCAAGCCAAACTGAGTATAAATCATCTGACAAAAATACCAAATTTGTCAAAAGGGTCAGATTTATGGAAATAAGACTTCAGGATTTTCACCCACGATAACCTCACATCTAACAAAACTATTATTGTAAGCAATTTTCAGGCGGAAAACTCAATGCACCATACAATAACCATCACATTAATCTGCTATGCAACTCGTCCACTTTTTTGCTTTTTCCAAAACCCAAATTACTACATAAATCAAACGATTTTTGTTGGTAAGAAAATCGTAAAGAATATTTAGTAGTCGAATGAAGACCTTCACTGCTTTAGTTTTCCGTTGATATGGAAATGGGAGATATGAGGAAATTTCGCTTGGTTTTTACAGTACTAGACAATCGATCAGCATCATTATCCTGTTTGAAAATATAGCTCGTGCCAAGGCATAGTTTGCCCACAGTTGGATGCAAATTTTCATTTTCCAGTATGGCCTTATTTTAGAAATAAACCTATTTCCCTCAATAAATATCTACTCCCGAAGCTACTTTTGCTCGCCAAACTCCCACCATCATGATTTGATTTACGGTACAAATATGGTGCTTGAGTTCCATGGTATCTTCGATTTCATGATAACATTCCCATCAAGCACCTCTTTCCAGAACTCACGATCCTGGCTGTGATACACGGGTTTTCTTACGAATGAGAGGCTTCTTGCGAGTTGATCTGCTTTGGTTTTCCTCGTTGTTAAGAATGCTTGATACTGTGGGTGGTTGTACATCTTTTTACATCTTTATTTTACATCTTGCAGCATTTTAGGTATATAACCTTATATATATATATATATTTGACATTTTGTAACCGCTTAAGCGATTTTAGGTCGGGCTCTTCCTCCAATTTGTGGTTTTGCGTCTTGATGTTTTTCCAACAAACGGAGGGACCTACAGTTTTTACCGAACGGCTGATGGTTTTTTTTACGAGGAGCCTTTATTTCATATCCGAAATGCACTCGTAGGGGTTGACATTCCCTACAGAGTGGTGACCGCAATAAGAAAATTTAGCTTTTTTTCATTCTATAAATTTTTGGTTGTTAGTACAACACCAGGATTTGAACCCGAGTCTTCCGGATGACAGTACGCTATGCTGACCACTCGGATACCGCAGCCGCCGTTACGTTTTTGATAAAAGGAATAACTGAGCAAAACTACATTCTAAAAAGGATGGTCATATGAAGACTTCAAAACTTCACTGTAAATAAGCAAACTTTAAGAAGCAAATAATTAGTGCAGCAGAAGAACACCAAAGTTAAACGCCAGTGAAATGGATTACCTTTCATTTGGTGAAAAATTTAATACTTTCTATATGAAAGTCTACAGGAGAGTCACTGGAAATTACAAATTTCTCATATACATACCAATACTCACTCTCACGCACACTCACACACAACAAATATCACCAACCAATCAACTGCACTTACGCTTTCGCCCTCCAGCTATCTAACATGTATTCAACACTACGCCAACTCTTCCGCACACACTTCTTAGCTCATATTTTAGTCTACTGAAATAGAAAAAAGATTTTGGCTCAATTACATTAAAACAATATTTTTTCGCTTGCCTGCATAACTGATACTCGAACCGCCCAATCACCGTTGTTGCCACGTAGACCCCAACACATTACAATGATCAATATACACACAGACACACACACAGACACACACACATACACACACACAGAGCACGCGTTTTGGTGTGGAGTTGAAGAAATAATTGTGGTGCAGTGGGCATGACGTAAACAGTTGACGTAGGCCAAGCCAACAAACGACCCATAACACGAACGGTGATGGTAAAAGTAATCAAGTAAGCTTGTGGTGACTGTCTTGCGGCTGCAATGCAATGCAATACCGGCAGCAGTTGTGCAAAACCATCGACCATGGCACACAGCAACAACAACAAAAACAACGAAAAGAACAACAACAACAACAACAACAAAAACATTGGCGTTAATAACAACTAACACAGTTGTGAAGCACCCAACAAAAATGTGTTCTATTATATTGTAGTATTATATAAGTGTGTGGTATGTGTTCTATTATTGCAGTCCTTCGTACATATAGCCAGCATTGCAAAGCAATATTCAAGCCCAAGTTGAGCCATTCAAGTTCCAAATTCACTCTAACACTGTACTCGCACATCTAACAACCAACTATGTAAGCCTGCCTGCGTATATATGTGTGTATATATGCGTTGGTGGTTCGGGAACTTTGCACTTTACATTACTTAAAATAATAATAATTCTGTGGTTTTCATTTCCTGTACTGACCCGACCATCCAACCAACCAAGCATTCAACCAACAGCTCAGCGTTCGTTTCGTGCGCATTGAGTGCAGCAGAATTATTACATTTTCTTATATAAGTGCCATAGAAAAAGTAAGTAAGAAAAATATGCCATCGAAAACTATATTGCAGACGATGAGTGCAATATGTTGCGGGTTGGCGGGTTGATGGGGCTTGAAGCGTAAAGAAAGTCACCACCTAGCAGGACAGACTCACATTGTAGATCTGTGAGCATTTATGAGCATATTGAGACCCATATTCAAGCATATTCATACATACGTATTTGCACATTAGGATGATACGAAAATACTCAAATTTCTGATTTTCCTAAATTTTTCCTTGCACAAGAAAATATAGCTGAAAGCTACTAAGGGGTGATCCGAGAAGAGGTACTTTTTTAAATAGCGTTTTTTGACAGATCACGAGTGAGGCGCGTCAAGCTGTCATGTTATTTTTGCTCAGTATTGTTTGGCATTTCATCGTGGAAAGACTTAAGCCTCAACACGGTTTTCAAATCGTTCAACTTACTTACGGAAATTAACGTTCTGTAAAGAATGTGTTTCGCTTAACTGATGGTCAACATTATCGGCCTGCTGAGCGTATTATTTGCAGCACCTTCACCCATCTTGATACACAACAATCATTATTGAATAACATTCGACCGAATAGACCACTTCCACTCTTCGACACTTCCAGTAAAGAAGATATAACGATCGTAGCTGAGAGTGTACACGAAGGCCGTGGAGAGTCGATTTGACGCTGTTCCCAGCAACTCGGATTGCTGATTGCAACGACCAAGCAGATTTTACTTCGAAAACTTAAATCGATAGCGTACAAAATACAGCCAGTGCACTGAACTAAAGCCCCTCAACCTTCCCTAGCGACATCGCTTCGCTTCGATCTAAGTGTTCCTGAAAAGTTGCAAGAAGATCCGACGTTTTCGGGCCGAATTGTGTTCAGCAATGAGACCCCTTTCTTGCCTGATTTGTATGTAAACAAGCAATATTGCCGCATTTGGGGCAAAGAGCACCATGAAGAGATTCAAAAGCTGAAGAGAACGTAACTGTTAATGGTGAACGTGGACTATTTTATTATTTGATGCCTGAAATTAAAGCTCATGATCACACAGCGCATCAATCAATGGTCATATCGAGAGAAAATTTCGGTGAGCAGATAATTTCACGTTTTGGGACGGTTGTTTGACCATCAAGATCGTGACAACACCGTTATACTTTTGCCTCTGGGGTTATATAAAATCTAAAGTTTATGCGGACAATTCCACTTCATTTCAGGCCTTAGAGCAAAACACGACGCGTGTCACTCGCCAGTTACCAGTCGAACTGCTTGAACGAGTCACCGAAAATCGAACTGAATGGATGGACCATCTAAAAGAGATAATCTTCAAGAAATAAATGCCAAAGAATGTTCTTTCGAATGATAACATAGATTCCTTATAAAATTCGAATTTTCTGTTTGAAGGAGAAGGCAACCTCGAAACGGAATGAAGTAAAAATACATAAAAATCACGCTGCAGCTATGAAATCCTACGGAAATAGAAAAAAAATATTGGCTTCTATTATAAATTTGTAATTTTTCTCTGCTTCTGACTAAGCAAAATAAAATCAAATAAACTAGACAACTGAAAAGGGGACTAATATTTAAAGCAGATATCGAACGACATTTACTGGCTTAACCTGAAATTCCGCTTGCTACCTATCGGCTTAAGGTCCTCTATCTGGTCTACTGTTCATGCCAAGTAGCTCAATTGTTTTTTAGTATAAACTACATTTTTTTTAACTCTTTTATATAAATTTTCTTTAAAAAATTTGAGCTCACAAATTTTTAATAAATCATTTAAAAAAAGATCAAATTATTATTAATTTATTATATAATCTTAAATTGTTATTTTTTTGTTATATCTTTTTTTATGTATAAACAAATTTACAAAGAAAGCTTTTTTGACACACCATGAAGATAATTCCCAAAATTCAATTGATAACTTTTTTTTAATTTTCTGTAAATCACCCTAATGCATACACGTTTATTACGACCATCTTGGTCACAATCTGTTTTACTATTATGACTGTGCTGAAAGTTTGCAGTGTACTCATAGTAGATATTTGAAAGAAAATTAGAATCTTGTTATGGCAGTCATTGCACTTTACAGTTGGCAAATGTGCAAATATCTAGGTTAGTGAAATAAAATAAAAAAATAAAATAAAATAAAATAAAAACATTTCTAACAAGCAATGCTGAGTATGTTCTTTTTTTAAATAATATTTATTATTTAAGCCAAAGTTTTCACTTACAGAAGTATAATGTATTGCATAAATATAAATTGTACCATATCCTCTCTCACTCTCTCTCCCTTTCTTTATCCTCATTTTATGTCGAAATTCCGTTTTAATGCTTCAATTGTCTTTGCAATTATTTTCAGGCCGCCCTGAACCCGTCGTCACCTGGATAAATGGCACACGACAATTGGAGTCTGGCAATGGTGTATCGATGGGTCGTCATGTCACTGTGAATCGGCTGGAGGTGCCGAACATCTCACGTTCGGCTCTCAACAATACATACCGCTGTCAAGCGTCAAATACGAAATTGGTGCCGCCAGTGGAACGTAGTATACGCATTGAAATGTTGTGTAAGTTGGAATTTATTGAAAAATCCATGACTTATTTATGTTAAGCTGCATATAGCAAATTAACAGTAACATATATATGTATATATATTGTCAAAGACTTGAAGTAGAAGTTGAATCAGATTATGTAAAGTGATTTTTTTTTTAATTTATGATTTTCTCTTTTTTTTCTTGGTAATAAAATTCGTATGAGAAATGTAACGCAAAATAAAAATTTTAAAAGTTCTAATTTTAATTTAAGACATGTTTTAAAAATCTTAAATTTTTAAGAATTTTGCTTAATTTAATTAATTTTATTTTAAAACTCAGCTACGACTAAGAGTTTTCTCTTCCAACTTTTTTATTAAAATTGCATGAAAAATTTAAAATTTTATTACTAAAAGTAAGAAATATAATAATAATAAATATAATAAAATAAAAGAATTTTTAAAAGTTTTATTTTTCTTTTAATTAATTATTATACCTAAATTATTTTGAAATAAAACCACTAAATACTCAATTGCTTTTTCATGAATTTTACAGTAAGTCCCACATCTGTGAATCTCACAAATAAACTGAAAGTCTTCTCATCTGGTAACCAATATAATTTAACATGTGTGGTCGCCGGTTCAGTACCCGATACAGAGATACGATGGACGCAAAATAATCGACCTTTCAAACGAGGAACGGTATGTTAAAATTAAAATGTAGAAATTTATTTTTTAAAGCGGAGAGCATAAATTTCCATATTCAAATCATTCAAAAAAGTTTTGAAAATTATGAACACAAATTTTTCAGCACCTTGTCAATAGTTTTTAAGAAAGGTGAATATGTTTTAGGGGCTTCAAGGATAAAAATTAAGTGCAACACCATTTTTGATAGCCCATGCGTATTTCATGCCTTTTGTAACTGAAAAAGTTTCTGTTTGGTCCTAAGATTGAAACATGAACCAATTTACAAACGAACAAAAATTTATGCTCAGTTAAGAGAGTGTAACTTACTTTTTAGATCAGAAGTATTGTAAGCTTAGTGGGGATTAGGAATGGAGGCATCCTTGAATTATACTTTTTACTAATGCGGCATTTCCAAATCTTTTGACTAAATTTCTTTAAGTCCACGCATTTTTCACGTTGGCTTCATGCAAATAGCGCTGAACTTGTTACTATTATTTCTTATTGAACCTTTTACCTGGTGATAGGGATTTCTGATGCCCTATGCCATTAAAATCAAATACCTTAGTGAGCCAGAGTGCCTTGACCCGTTTTTTATTAACAAACGAAAAGCGCCGAGCTCATGACAACGCGTCATCCCTGAAATAACGAGTAAATTGATTGTGATCTCTCGGAACGAAGAAATGGGTTAAGCACCATTTTCTCCGGAAACAGCGCCTTTTGATTTCTGGTTATTTCCAATATATACAAAAAACTGTAAAAGGACAGGTCTTTAATAGCAACGAGGAGATATTTAATGCGGCTAATGCTAAACTTGATAGGCTTAAAAAGCAAGATTTTGAAGACTGCTATCAGAAGTGGTTCTATAGGTAGCCGCAGTAGCCGAGTGGTTAGCATTGCGCACTGACGTTCGGCAGGCTCAAGTTCAAATCCTGGTAACACCAGCATACAAATGTAATGGAAAACTTATTTAGATAAAGAACTAAGTAAAATTTACAAAATTTATTCCCGCGGCAGGGAATGTCCACTTCTCCTAGTATATATCGCAAATGAAATAAAGGCTCAAGACACAAACCACAGGAGAAGTTCGGCCAACAATTGCTTCAGCGCTTACAAAGCGTCAAATATATATAACTGTACGCTTAGAAAATGTTTTGAAATCAATGGCGATTATGTAGAAAAGAAAAGAAGGAAAAAATTACGAATAAATTCAAACAAAAATATTTTTTATCCCTTCCCTACGTATTGGGTTTTCCAATAAAAGGTTTTTTTTTCTAATATTCAAAGAAACTTTTCCTTTAAAAGATCGAGAGTTTCGTTGGTTGTGTGGTGCGTAGCGCCGTCTTATTGAAAGCAAACATTGCCCAGATCAACACCATCCAAATCCGGCCATAAAATATCATTAATCATCTCTCAACCCAAAAGCCAATGACTCCGCCGGACCGTAGACCGCACCAATTCTACCCATAATAAGCTCTTATTGGAAAATTTCTTCCATTTTTTTCAAGTTTTTATAAAAACTGTTGTATACTTTTATATAATTGCTCTGAGGTCTTGCCATCTTTTCCAAAGGAAGCAAAGCGTTTTTCTCTGAATTTTTTTCGAAATGGCTGAACCCTCAAAATAAAGCTCTTCGGATAAACAAAGACTGCAATATTTTATATCATCTCTATCTGATTCGCTAACTAAACATTTTTTTGATCTTCATTTTGTATTTACTCTCCTCTTTATGCAGCTAACGACAACACAAAGTAACGGCAAAGTATTCTCAACCTTATCCTTCCACCCTCAACCTGAAGATGACGGTACACTGCTGAAATGTGCAGGTTCAAATCCACGTTTACCAATCTCAGCAATGGAAGATTCACTTTTACTAAATGTGATGTGTAAGTAAAATTATTTAGTTATTATTGGAAATAATTTAGATAAAACTAAAGGTGGTCATATTCTTCGAAAGTCATGAAGCTATGATAACATAATACTGGGATTACATTTATTAATATTTCCTTGGGTCAGAGATCTTTGGCCATCAATTGAAAAAATATTCTACGTTTTCCTAATTTTCCTTTCTCGTTTGGTCGTTTTTTAAAAGAAAATTATTTTTTATTCTAATATTTTTTTAAGTTTTCAATAAAACGCAAAATTATTCAAAATAATGATAAAAGTAGACAAAGCTAAAGGGTAATAACACATTATGTAAAAACTAGTTTTTTTTTTAATTCAAAAACTTGTTCAGAAAACTTTTAAGCACTAAAATATTAACACTAAAATTCAAAATATCTTGGCAAAAAAATCTTGTAATGTAATCCAGCCAAACTAGCTGCTGGACTGCTGTCTATGGCTGGAATGGGTTGTTTTGTAAATTGCTTTAATTAAAAAAAAAAAACAAGAAATAAGTTTCCAAGAAAACTTTTAAGGATTTCACAAACAGGGTTATTCATTTTGTGTTTTTTTTATATAACGCTTCATACTTCTTTATTTTATTATATATGAAACATCACATCAATAAAATGGCCACCCCGAGAATTTTCGCAAACTTTGACCAGCTTGAAGTAATTCTAGACCAATTATTGACCTATATGTATATGACTGAGATACATAACTTGCCGAATAATGGTTTTAAATTGCTCAACAGATAAAAGTTTATCCAGTTAAACACGGACTTTCGCGTAGCTCCACAAAAAAAATCCAATGTGGTCAAGTCCCACGATCTCGGTGGCCAATTTACATTGCCAAGTCGAGAGATTACGCTGCCGGGAAAGTCCGCTCGCAAATAAAGCCACATTCGCTCGTATTGTGCGCCACCTGTTGTTAAAATCACAAATTTCCAAGTCGTGTTTTTCAATTGCGGTCCAAAAAAGTCGGTTATCATACGACCTAACGCGCCGAATCGGCAGTGACAGTCTAATCATTCTCCTTTCCAAAGAAGTAACGTCCAATTATATCTACGGACCTAAGACAGCACCAGATAATAAGTATTTTTAAGTACGCTGCTCTTCAATTATTTGACGATTCTCGGATCCTTAAATGCGACAACTTCGTTTATTTACGCATCCCCCGAGTGAGAAATCTGCGCTAAAGAAAATTTGGTTCGTCAACTCGTCGTCCACCGCTTGTTGTTCAAGCACCCAACCGACGTATGTACTGAATTGTAAAACGTCAGCTGGCTGCATTTGTTATGTGAGCCGAACTTAATATGGATGTAGGTGTAAGCCCAAGTACAAAATACGTCTTAATGTGCGGTAAAAAAGTCTCAGCTCTTGATAATGTCGAGAAATAGGCTACACTTTCACTTGATGTAGCGACATTTGAGGTGAGTCGAGCAAAACGATGATGCACGCACCCTACATTATCTGCAACCGACTTAGTCGCTTCTAATCTGTATAAAACTTTACCAATCGCTTCAGTAATCGGAGAATTACATGCAATATAACCTACTTTTAGGCGTGAAACGTGCCACATTTTTTAGTAGGTTTCAATAACTTCAACGCGTTCTGTAGTCGTTACATAATTTCATAAGTGCCTGGCTCTAACAAATGTTTCTTGGTTTGACGGTTAACAAAACACAGACCCGTACTGTTGATGCCGCGAAATGGATTTCTTTTAGCCAAGGCAGCATCGTAACTACAAATTTCATGTTATTCGAAAAATCTCTATCGTTTCGCGGGCAACATTTGGATATATATCTCCTTTCCGCTTTTTTGCTCTTCATTCAATGCTTTATAAAAAATGTTACAGTGATCGAATTTAGTTAAAATATGCGCCGTTTTGTTCGATGATCTGTTTCCATCTAGACGTCAACTTCATAACACCATCCTCCTAGAAGCCCCCCTCCTTATTTGCGAAGAATTCGGACAGCCACTTTTCACAAGCCTCTTTTGAGTTCAACTTCACACCACCAAGGGCATTCGCCATGGACAGGAACAGGTAGTAATCACTTGGCGCTACGTCCGGGCTATATGGTGGATGCGATAAAACCTCCCATCCGAGCTCCCGTAGCTTCTGACGAGTCATCAACGAAGTGTGTGGTTTGGCGTTGTCCTGGTGGAACACTACACCCTTCCTGTTGGCCAATTCTGGACGCTTCTGGTCGATCGCCTGCTTCAAGCGGTCCAGTTGTTCGCAGTAGATGGTAAAATTAAGCGTCTGGCCATATGGGAGCAGCTCATAGTGGATGATTCCCTTCCAATACCACCAAACACACAGCAAAACCTTCCTGGCCGTCAATCCTGTTTGGGACGATTCACCGGCCTTCGACCACGACCGTTCTCGCTTGATATTGTCGTATGGGATCCATTTTTTGTCGCCAGTCACCATCCGCTTAAAGAATGGGTAGAGTTCGTTCCGTTTCAGCAGCATATCGCAGGCGTTGATTAGGTCCAGAAGGTTTTTTTGCGACAATTATGCGGCACCCAAACATCAAACTTTTTTTTGTATCCAGCCTCCTGCAGATGGTTCAAAATGGTTTGGTGACTAACTCCCATCTCCTGGGCGATGTCACGAGATGCCATATGCCGGTCTAACTCGATGTATTCCATGATTTGATCGGTATTTGTCGTCATAGGTCTTCCGCCGGCTGGCTTATCCATGGTGTCGTTTTCACCGGCTCTGAATCGTCGAAAGCATTCCTCCGCGGTTCGAAGTGATAGAGTACCATCCCCCAAAACACCATTAATCTCACGGAACGTTTCTCTAGCGGATTTGCCTTTAACGAAGGAAAATTTCGGCGTTTATGAACTCCATGTTTACACGTCTATAACTGTTGAACGCAATATCCAAACATGCATAGCGTTGTTTTGTAGGTTATGTCAAGACCTTTCAAATTATGTATAGTGTTGCCAGATACGAGCTCTGTAGCGCTTTGTACATAGCCGCGAAATTCAAAAGACAGAAAAGCGGAAGGGAAATATTTGACAACCTTATATTAACGTTAGAGCAGCTATAAAAATAATTTTCTTTTCACTTTTACCCGAAACGAAGAGATATCGTTTATGTTAAATCGTTAACAGACCATGTTAAATGTTAAAATTGAAGTGTGCTGTTAAGTCATAGCTGGTAGTTATTTAAAAATTAGCATTAACGATTTCATATCGTTGGGTTGATTTTTTTTTAGCAAAACAATATGATTTCATTGTTTTTGCTGAGCAATTGTGCTTTATGCCTAGATAAGAAAATGTGCGGGCATAATTTTCTGCAAATTTTAAGCGTTATGCTCTTTGAAGACAAGCTTTTTTTTCGTAAAATAAAAATTTCAAAAAGTGAAAAACTTATTAAAAATTCTTAATATAAAACTTCAGTTTATATCACATAATTTCAATCAAAATAAATTGAATGAAAAAATTTCGCCAATAAATCTAAATTATTTGCCCTACAAAACGCTCTATGCACTAACAATTTACTGTACCTGCTGACATAATAATGCCGCAATAAATTTCACTTTTCGATTATCTAAACCGCAAACATGTCAAAACTCTAACTCGCCGACATTCGAAGGCTGAAAATCCAATGCTAAACACCGCAACGAAAAAGAACTTAACCGTGCTCAGCATGTTTCGAAATTCATATATAAATAACTGTATGACGATATGCGCGCGTAATGTGCACATATGTGAATGTATAAATGCTCCTACATATGTATGTAAGTTTGTGCGCATGTTTGTATGAAGTGTAATATATAATTTTATGAATTTTTATTATATTTATTACACAAATTTTCATATGATTTTCAATAAAGTTGTCAGCGCTTGTTTTATTGTTTTACCCACACATAATCACATTCAAATACATACATACATACATATATCGTCATATGAATGTGAAAATATTTGTATATATGAATATGCATGTTGGTTTCTTCAACATAATCATAAATTTATTGAAATACAGACTTAAATAGAAAATTTACGAGCACAACAGTAAAAGCAAATGCGACACGCGAGAGCATTGCAGCCCACATTGCCTAGGGGTAGGGGCGAGGTATACGGCAAGGCCAAAGTACTTCTATACGATTTCTAACTTTCCACTCATTTTCATAAAATATACATTTAAGAATTTACATATACATATTTATGTACAGGGGGTTCCATCTTTTATGTTGGTATGTAAAGGCTGAATAACTTTCACATTTACCAGCCGAGCGATTGTATCAGATATATTTTGAAGACGTCAATGCAGTGCAATTTTTGACATGGATCGCTTAACATCGAAACAAGGCGCTGAATTACTGACATTTTACACATCAAAGGCAGTCGTTAAATTGTGTTAATTCAACTTGCATATCGGAGAAAATATCGCTGCAAAAAGGCACCATTTGAAAGATTAGCCGATTTAACCCCCCGCGTTTCTTTTTGTTGGGTTTTCGGAGAAGCAAGGTTTACTCCCCAACCTATTGATGAGCTCAAGGCAAATATTCGGGCTAAAATCAACGCTACAACACCCGAGATGCTCGGAAAGGTAATGGCAAATGCAGGAAAAATAGTAATTTTCTAACTGCTAATAAAGATTGCCGAAAAAATTGTAAGCAACCAAACTGAATAAAAATGCATTACTTATAGAAATCGCTTGTTTTTTCTCAAAGTTATTCAATGTTTACATACCGACATAAAAAATGGAGCACCCTGTATACGCATTTGTGTTTGTATATTGTATGGCGAACAGTTTGGCTGTGAGGCGTGCGAAAAGTCACCTATGCAACTACCAGCTCCCGAGCAGCGGCAGCTGGGCAACAAACCGGGCACATAGCATGTTGAAAGCTATGAATGTTTTATTTCTTTGCAAACGGTTATAAATAATGAATTGTATGGTGTGACAAATAGACAAAAAAATAACAATAAATAAACAAGCAGGACAGTGAAAAAAATGCGCAGACTTTCAAGTGTGTGCGGGA